TTTGTAGGGCAGGGCAGCACCCCCTGTGTGCTCAGCCCCTCCGCTCCCTGCCCTGCTCCCCCTGCTGCACATCCCAGATTCCCGGCAAAAATAGGGGGAAATTAAATCCCCCGAGGAGGAGCAGAGGGGGCAGAACAGAGAGGGAACGAAGCGTCCCTGTGGCCAGAGGGAGGAGAGCCGGGAGCTGCGGGATCGCCGGGGAACGGAGCTGGACCGGCGGCAGGTGGCACTGCGGGATAACCGGGAGAAGCATGGGATAACCGGGATAACCATGGGATAACCGGGACACCGGGAGAACCATGGGATAACCGGGATAACCATGGGATAACCGGGATAACCGGGATAACCATGGGATAACCGGGATAACCATGGGATAACCGGGATAACCGGGATAACCATGGGATAACCGGGATAACCATGGGATAACCGGGATAACCATGGGATAACCGGGACACCGGGATAACCATGGGATAACCGGGACACCGGGAGAACCATGAGATAACCGGGACACCGGGATAACCATGGGATAACCGGGACACCGGGAGAACCATGAGATAACCGGGATAACCGGGATAACCATGGGATAACCGGGATAACCGAGAGAACCATGGGATAACCGGGATAACTGGGATAACCATGGGATAACCATGGGATAACCGGGACACCAGGAGAACTGCGGGATAACCGTGACACCACAAGAACTGTAGGATAACCAGGAGCACTGTAGGATAACTGGGAGCACTGTAGGATAACCAGGAGCACTGTAGGATAACTGGGAGCACTGTAGGATAACTGGGAGCACTGTAGGATTAACTGGGAGCACTGCAGCTCCAGGCCCAAAAAGTGCAACCAGCAGGGAATTGAGGAGAGCAGCCTGGGAGGATGGGACTGCATCACCTGCAGCTGGAACTGCACAATTCACCCCAGGGTGGAAATGGACCAGAACTGATCCAAGGGTGAAACTCCTGAGCCAGGGCCCATCCTGGGTGCAGCCACAGCCTGTTGTACCTGGGCTTTCCACACTGGAGCCCTTGCTGGACCCAGAATTGCATTTCCTAGCAGACAGGAGAACTTCTCTGTCTGATTTGAATTTTATAATGAAGGGGGAACAATTCTTCAAGTGTTCTTTTGCTAAGTGGGAAAGATGAGCAGGTGCATTTCATTCAATTTCATTCATTCAATTACTGGTGACTGTGTGTCATTTGAGTCCTGGTAATGGTCACTTGAGGTCATTTGGGATTACTGGAGGTCACTGCAGTCCTGGCTGGGGTCACCTGAGGACATTTGTGGTTACTGGGGTTCATTGGAGTATTTTGAAATTGATCCAGGGCTTACTTGAGGTCATTTGAGGCCCTGACTGGGGTTACTTGAGGTCATTGGAATCTTTTTAAATTGATCTTTTTAATTGATCGCTAATGCCCCAGAGATTTGGGAGTTCTCAGCTGGAAGAAAAGGATGGGAGACCTTGGCTGAGAGTAGCCATGGATCATCTACAAGGATTCCTGGGCTAATAGGAACTTTATTCTCTATATTTACTTGCCACACCTGGGTGGAAAAGTCAGGAGTGGGGTGCTTCAAATATTCCAGGTTGTTTAAAACCAGGGTTTGTAAAGACAAATCGAGAGATAAGAGGAGGGACTGAGAGGAAAGATGTGTGCTAATGCCTGTACAAACAATTGGGTGGGTGAAGGGATGGGTGTTAATGTCTTTGAGGTGAGGTTTAATGTCTCTGCTGACTTTGGGGCAGCAGGTTTGTTGCAGAGCCCACAGAGTTTGGCTCCTCAAACAGCCAAGGGGCTGCACAAGGCTGAACTGCTGAGTAAAATGTCAGGTTCAAGGGGGGATATGGGGAAAGGAAGAGGGCAGCGTGGATGGCAGTTTAAAAAGGAAGCTGCATCCTCAAAAACCTTGAGAGGGAAAAAGCCGCAGGGATGTGCCCCAGTGGACTCTCTCCCTTGAGTCAAATCAAGTTCCACTGCTTTGGACATAAACCTCTGGTGTTTGTGGATTTTCCTGAGCTCTGGCTTCCAACCCAACACTGCCACTGCCAGGGAAGACACTGTTACATTATTCCAGTCTCCCCCAGTGTGGCAGGGTTTAATTAATACTTGAAAAGTGCTTTGGAAAGAGGAGAGTGTTCATTAGTGCAGCACAAGCCATACAAAATAATCCCACACCTGATTGCAGGTGTTGAGGTTGTGGGGCCTGTGCTTTGCTCTGAGTCTCAAATTTTGGCAGGGCAGAAACCACATCTGGGCCAGGCACAGGAGAAATGCAGGACAATCCCCTCCCAGGCTCCAAAATTCCACAGAGAGAGGAGGTTCCTGCTGGGTGAAATGCAGCAAAGAAATTCAGGCTGGTAGCAGGAAGGGGTTTCCATGGCAAACACACCTGCACCAGGTGCTCCCCAGTCACATCAGAGGATGTGTGAGAGGAGTCTCAGCCTCCCAACAGATCTTTCCTATGGAACAACCTATTCCAGGCCATGGGAAACCCAAGGTGCCAGCTCATCCTGAAGGACAAGATCTAGCAGGTCCTCAGGATTCCTGGGGTGTTCTGCTGCCTCCTGACAAGGTCACAACTTCTCCCAACTGCTTCTGAGAATGCCAGACCACAACCAAGACTTAACTGAGCCATGTGTCTGCAGGGCAGTGTTATTTAAAGGAAAAGGAAGGAAATTGTCTGTGTCCATCTGCTATAAACTCTGCAGAGCTCCAGGTGAGCTGGCCAAGTGCAGAGGATTTGTTCCTGCTCCTCAAAGCTTCCTCCACACCAAAACCCAGAGGTGGGGCAGCAGACAGAGTTAAAAATAGCCCTCCAAAGTGAATGGTGGATGCTGGGACTATCTGTTCTAGCAGCTCAATTAAAGGTTTGTGCTTGACCCAAGGATGTACCCAGCCCCTGAGAGAAGAATAACAACTGTAGGCAGAGGTAAGTACTCCCCTTTCTGCCTCCCTGGCTGTAATTACACCGTGCCTCTGAGCCTATTTGTAGCGTCAGCAGCCAATTGTGGATCCTCCAATGTACCCATTAAACCAGCAGGAGAAACTGAGCTTGGAGGAAGAGGTAGGCGTTAATTGTGGGAGCATCTTCACCTGGCCTCATCATCCTCAGCCACCAAAACACAGCCTGGAGCAGCATCCTGGGCACGGCCAGCCTTGGGCTCCTGGAAATAGCCGTGGTGGGAGCTGGGAGCCAGCAGCAGAGCTCTGGGGAGGGGGGCAGGAGTTTGTCCCGCAGGAGAGGGGGTCTGCAGCCAGCTCAGGCAGGAGCACAGACTGTGCATCCTCAGCTGGGCCAGTGACACAAATGGAAAAGGGGAATCCATCGAGTCATGGGAGCACTGAGCAGAACTGCTGCTCGCCCTGGATGCAGGAGAGACACTCAGCACACCCCAGAGCCCAGCCTGGCGCTGCTCACAGCACTGACCTCGCTCTCAGCCAGCCCAAAAATCCCTGCAGGGTTTGTTTGGCCAGAAACTTGGCCTTTCACCCAAGGGTTGAGAGGTACAAACTCAGGAAATGGATATGGGGTTGCTTGCGATGTTTCCACATTTCCAGCTTCTGCCTTTGCAAGTGCCCAAAGTGAGGAAGTTCTGACAGAGCTGGGACGTTGGTGCTCCCAGAGGGGAACAGAGCTCAGCACTGGGTTGGGGCACAGGTGAGAGGAATGAGGGATTTGTGTTTACAAATGAGCTGTGGGGCTGCTGGTAAATCAAACCAGCACTGAGAGATAAAAGAAACAATGGGAAGGATTCCACTGACTGATGAATGGAAAAAAAGATATTTGCCTTTTCAAACAAACTGGAGGTTTGCTGGTAAATTAAATTGGATATTGAAAGATGAGAGAGACAATGGGGAAACACCATAAATTCCATAAGAATTAAAAATTAAGAGGGAGGGTTCTATATCAGAGGGAAATCTCAGGTGTCAGGCATTCCGGGGAGTCTGTGCCTCTCAAGTACCTCAGGCAGTGGGGAAAGAGAGAGGGACATGGCTGGGAAATTGGGATAAAAAGGAGATAAAACTCTGAGAGACCCCAGGGGAATGGCCCATGGCCTCTCCCTTTATTGGAATAAAGTTACAGGACTCCTCTGTCTCCTCTTTGGACATAAACCCCTGGTGTTTGTGGATTCATTTCCCTGACACAGGTCTTTGGGTGTAAAGCCTATTGTACACTCCAGCCTTTGCCTAATGCATCTCCCAGAAATGTCATTCTTTGGATAAAGTCCCTTCCTGCTCTGCCTGCATGGATCAGATCCAGAGTTCTCAGGAGAGCCCCTCTTCTTCCAAACCTGAGGAGTTTGGGATGATCAGAACTCCAAGGGGAACCTTCCTCCTGCTCTCACGTGAAATGGGCACTGCATGCTGAGCTGAATTCTTTGCAAACCCCCTCATCTCTCCAGGGATTCTCCCAGGATTTGGAAAACAGCCACATGGAAATGCCATTCCCCAGTGGGGTTTCAGAGAGATCCCTGCTGGCTGCTGTGTTTTCCCTGCCTCTCCTCTTTGGGGTCTCTCTGCCACTGCAGGGACATCCCACAGCAAAAGGGACGTGGGCACACGAGAAAGCAGCTAAAACTGAACTGGCAAAGGGGCATTTGAGGTCTCTGCCAGCCTCTTTGGGCAGCTCCACCCAAATATAAACTCTGGAGGCAGTTTCTGGTTGGTTTGCACGAACCCGTGGCTCTCCATCTGTGCTTTCTGTGGAACTGTGACAGGCAGAGGGAGCAGAAACGCTCAGAACAGTCTCAGGGACTGATGGGATGACTACTTTTAGACATACCTAAATCAGTGGCCAAGGCAGAGCCCCAAAGTCTGGGGAATAATCCCACCCCTGCAAGCTGCAGGCTGTGCAGAGCCCACGCCTCAGGCAGGTGGGATTACAAATGCTGGTAAAAAAAGCTAAGCAAAGAAAGCAGATTTCTCCTCAAAACTCCAAATATCATCTGAGTCTCGTGGTCACCACAGGGCAGCACTTTAACCCACTCTGCATGCCAGTGTTTGCTCAAATCCCATTTCCAAACCCGGCTTGCTGCTGCCAGCACCTCAGAGCTCTTTCCAACACTACTCAGGAGCACTTCACCCCCTCTCTGGCAATTGGGAAACTGCTGTCTGGAAAATCCTCGTGATTTTGGTTTGTTAGCAGCTGTTGGGTGACCCCTCCTCAGGGACATCCTGGATTGAAGGAGTATTTTTTTATGCTTTGCTGCACATTTGCTACCTCAAAGCAGGCCTGGCTTGAGGACCCAGTGAAGCATGAGGGATTTCCTCAAGGTACAGAAGGAGCTGGGGTGACAGCAGCTGAACCAAATTCAGTTTCTGCTGCTAGGAAATGCCAGACAGTGAGATGAACCTCTGAACACGTCTGGCACGAGGCATCAACCCTGTGTAATGTTACTGAGAGCAAACACCTTTCCCTGGTGGCTGCTGCCAGGGGCAGAACAGCACATCCTGCCCTGCCAGAGCAGGCTCTGCCTTGGATGTTATCCAAACTCTTCCTTCTCAGAGGAGAACTGCTGCTTCTCCAGCAGGCAGCATGCTTAAATTGAATTTTGCCCTCACTGAACTGAGTTATGCAGCAGAAATTTTCCTCCTCCTCAATCCTGGAGAGGCTTTCCCTTCTCTTGTCCCCAGTGCTTCAGCACAGAGCCAGGCTGTGCTTGCAAAGGGCTCATCAGAGCTTTGAAATGCCCATCCCAAAGTCCTGCTTGGACAGAGAGCAGCCAGAGATTGAGCAGGAAATGCTGTCCAAAGGTTTTTAACCATCCTGGTAAATCCCTGAGAGTCCCACAGGAGAGCTCTCAGCCCCTGAGAATGGATCAGAACATCAGACAACTGGGTGACCATCAGCTCCTGAGGGAGGGGTGACCTGCAGCTCCACTGGGAAAGTGGAATCAGGCTTTGAGCCCCTCCTGTGCCTCTCCTCCCTCCTGCAAGAGGAACCCCTCACCTACAAGCGAGTTTGCTCACACAGGTGATGGCAGTGCCAGTTCTCCAGCCAAAATCCTTTCCACCCTGGTTTCAGCAGAATTTCCATGCAGCCAAAGCTCAGACCTTGCCTCCCCAAGATGCTCACGCTGGTTTTATACCTTCTGCAGGAGCTGAAAGATGCCTCCTTAACCCATGGATCAAAGGCTCTTCCACTCCTCTCTCCTGCTCTTTTTGGGAATCTCAATAAGCCTAAACCACACCAACAAGGGGGTCTTTCAGAGATGTTCCCCTCTCTTGAGGAGCCTGGGTAGAGCATCCCAGAGCCCACCACCTTCCCCAAGGCTCCCAGCTGGTGCCAGGGTGAAGGAGATCTGTCCTTCAGCCCCAAACTGCCCCCCAGGCAGCTCCTGAAATTCTGCAGACCTTCAGCAGGACCTGGGCCACGTCCCCCTGCACCTGGAGCTGCACCGAGAGCCAAGCCCCAGCCCCTGTGCCACCACCAGCCACCACAGAAAGCCACCAGGGACGTGACAGCTCCCCCCAGCTGAGCAGGCGTCCCCCCAGAGAGAGGCAGAGCAGAGCGAGGGCAGGAGCAGCTGTTAGTACCTCTCTGCAGGAAAGAGGCTGTTCTCTGGATAATCCCTGATGGGAACAAAAGGATGGGAGACAAGGCATGAGGCAGGGAGGGGATGGAGAGGGGGTTACAGCACCTCGAGGAGTGGAGGGGGAGGCCAGGGCAGTGCTGAGAGCTGAGGGTATCTGACCCACCTTGGGCAGCACCACAGAGGCTCAGGGGATAGGGGATGGGGGCCTGGAGGCTGAAGTGGGATCCCAGAAGGTGGAGGGGGTCACTGTGCTGGGGAGCCCCACAGGGGAGCAGAGCAGGGGCTGGGGTGCCCTGGGGACCCCACAGCAGGAGAACTCAGCTGTGGGTGGAAGGAGGAGTTGGTGTGAGCAGCAGAGAGGAAAGGTGTCCTTACCAGACCTCTTCTTTCCAATGGGCTCCCTGAAAAAGAGAAGGAAGTGTCAGCACAGCAAGGGGACAATTGGGGTGACAAACCCGCCCAGGAATGCGCAGCAGTGGGGCCACTGACCTCCCTCAACCAGCTCATGTCTCCATGGGCATCACCCACCCTGCAAACAGCCCCTGACCCACTCCTTTCATTTAGAAATGTAATGTTTTGTCCTTCCCTCGGTGGGCTTGGGTGCTGGCCTGGCCTTACAACTCCCCCCGAGCCACCTGGAAGCAGCCCAGGCACTCAGCCAGGGAAGTACAAACACAATTAAATAAAATGCAGCCACGATGGAGTGCAAACAAACAGGGCATTGTTACAGAAACTGGAGCCTGCTGAGTTCAGAGAGCACAGACTGTGCAAAGACCTCAACACCACGGCCCAGGGACAGAGACCAGCAGAGGAACCTACAGGACAGAGCATCCCAAAGATTCCTCCACAGAGGCAGCGTTGCAGAGCTAAATCAGAGTTAATTAACAAGCCCCATTAAAATCCCCCCAGTTCAGAGGTGTGACAGGGAAGGGAGGCAAAGCTGGAGATCAGCAGGTGGGAATGGTCCCCTTGTGCTGATGGGAGATGGTGTTTTCCCCCTGCCTTCTGCTAAACCCATCACTGGAACTCATCCCCTGCTGAGGGAGGGGGCAAGGAAGGAGCTGCAATTTCACTTTGCTGCCGGGATCTTCCTGGCAGGGACACAAAGAGCTGCAGGTCTGAGGAGCAGCAGCCCCAGCCCAAGCTCCTCAGAGGGGACAGGAGCTCAGACAAGACAGGAAACAGCAGCAAACTCCCGGCAGCATCTCCTCCTCCTCCTCCTCGGATCCCTGTGGAGCAGAGAAGGGCAGCAGCAGAGCTCACGTGCACAGTTCCCTGGAAACTCATGGCTCCAGCAGAAGAGAATGAAAAATCACTCTGCCTTGCCCTGTAAATCTCATTTAGCTCCAGCCCCCCCAGCAGTAACCCCCACAGTTACAAGGCACCGAGGCAGAGCTGTGACAAGGGGACACCAACCAGCCCCACGGGACTGGAAAAACCCAGGAATGCTTCTCCAGCTGCTTCCCAGAACTCTGAAGGGTGGCTGTGTGGCTGGAGCCTCACTTAAAGCTCTGAGCCAACACCACAGTCTCAGTGGGCTCAGCTCAGTGTCCTTCAGGAACCTCATAATCCCCTGGAAGGAAACTCTGACACATGGAGAACTCTTAGCACATTCAATAATCTCCATGCCACGGGGTTTTTTTAGGAAAAGAGAGTCAGGTTTCTCAAGCATCCTCTCTAGGCAGCATCCCCATGGATCCAGGGGTGGGAAGGAGTGAGATGGGGAGCACAGGGGTTCAGCTAAGTGAGCAGACTGGGAGGTGAATTAAAAGCTAAGAGGCTGCTTTTCAATAGCTTGTAAGACAACTCCTAAACTACTGACTGCAGGATGCTGGGGACACTGAAATTCTTCATGGACTTACAGGGTCATAATTCAGGCAGGAAATGTTAATTAAAAGTCATTCATTATAAACCCAGGTCTAAAAGAAGAGTTGTTACGTGCTGGCTTGAGTTTATAAACTCTTTCCTAAGGCACATTTGGTGGCTGCTGGGCCAGGCAGATCCTAGGGCTGCAGGGAGGTGGCCCTGAGGTTGTCACACAGAAAAACCCACCTTGCAGTGCGACTCACAGGAGAAAAGTGCCCCCAAATGTGGCTTTGGGGACCTCAGCACTGGCCCTGCTGCCACAGCCAGCTCATGAATAGGTGAAGGACTGGAGCACCAACACAAGGAAAACAACTGCAGCTGCTGCAAACCCACACAGGAGCCACATCAAATGGGACGGATCTGAGGTCAGCGTTCCAAGAAAACATCTCCCTCATATAAAATAAAAAACCCTTCTCTTGTAAAAGAAAATAAATCCTGCTGTAATACAGTAATGCCACCAAAATAGCTGTCAGGAGGGGGTTCATCTCCAAAGCATTCAGCAAGCTTGGAGATGTTTGCAAAATTTATGGAGGCGGGGAATGGGGTACAAGAGAGCCCTTGTTTTTGAGAAGTGATGTTTAGCAAATGCTCCAGCAGCACTGAAAGGAGCCCCTGTCCCCACACTCCAGGGACACTGCAGAGTCAGCCAAGCTGAGCCCTCAGGCTCAGAACCTGCCCTGGCAGCTCAGAAAACCCAGTGCTCTGTCCAGGGACCTGGCACAAAGCAGGTTTCTGCAGAAATTGGGTATTTCTGTCTGCTGTCATCCAGGAAAGCCGGCTCTCGGCACAAGGGGAAGGAGGAGGCTGTCTTGGAGCTGGGATCCAGCCTCAACTCCTGCTGAATGTGCACGTGGGCACCAGGAGAAATGCAAAACAACTTTGTGTACAAGCTGTGAGAGCAGAACACGACCCTAAAGCTACAGGCCAGCAAGAATCCTTATCCAAACCAACATCCACCAACTCGTGGGTCTCTGGCTCACCAGCAGAAGCTCCAGGAGAGGCTTCCTGCAGCCCCTCCATCCTAGAACAGGGACAGAGTTCAAAGCAACAACTTTTATAAGTGTCTTATGCATGATGGGCTGCTCAGCTGCTGAAAAAACCCAGTGCAAGATGCTTTTCCTTGAAGAGGTTTTTCATGGCCAGGGATACATCCCATCCCCAGCCTCTGGGAACAGCACATTCCCCACCACATCCCACTTGTAACTGTGGGCAGTGAATAAATAACTACTTGGTCATATTAATGACTTGACAGTCATTAATATTAATAACTTATTAATAACTACTGGGGCCTTGCTTCTCTACAGAGTTAACCTGGGCTCCCTCATGTCCCACAGCCGAAATTCAGCTGGAGGAGAGAGCAGCTGAATGCTTTGACTCAGCAGTGGCTCCATGCCCAGCCCTTCAGCCTTCCCCAGCCTTCCCCAGCACCTCTGCTGTGGTTAAAAACAGCTCTGAACTGCAGAAGTGGGGTGGGAGGTGAGGGGGGTGCACACAGCAACCTCCCACCTCAGCATCCTGTGCTGGTCAGACCTGCTGGGAGATGTGGGGAGCAGGAATTTGATGACTTCTCTTCTTTGAAGCTGCAGGGCTTCCATCCAACACTGAGGAGAAAAATCCCACATCCCCCAGATTGCTAACTTTCCAGAGATCTCTTTTTCCATAACCATTTCTCTTCTCCTTCTTCCCTCAGTGCTCTTCACAAATTCCCCTGGATTCAGCCTCATTCTGACCCATGCTGGGCAGCTCTGTGAGTTGGAAGCAGTGGAGTAATTCCAGTCCAGAGCTTGCTGGACAGGGATCCACATCACAAAGGCCACCAGTTGTCCCTGGCAGCAGAAACCCTGCCACCTCCCTCTGCTCTCCTGCTTGATGTGGTCTCTCCAGGCAGGAGGACGCAGCAAAGTTGGGGATGAGGAAGGAGGGGATGGAGGGAGGGCTTCACCTCCCTGTTCCACCCACCAAGTGCTGGAGAATCCTGTCTCGACTCCACTCCTGGCTGTGATATCCTGCCCAGCTGGGAGCAGTGGTGGAAGGAGGAGGAATGAAGTCAGAATTTGACCCTTTTCCTCTCCTCAGGACAGTCTGGAGGGCAGGTGGGAGGTTGGGAAGGGCTGAGGAACTCAGCTGAGAGCCAGCAGGGACCAGCTGGTGTTGCTCAGCACGGGGCTGCTGAAGGGAGCTGCACTGCAGGAAAAGCAGGAGAGCCCTGGCCCAGCCCAGGGAGAGCTCCAGCCCTGGGGAAAACAACACCACAGGGGCCTGGAGAGAAATACTTGGGCTGTCCAACCTCCTCTTTCCATTCCCAAACACTGCCAGAACCAAGGACTGAATTCCACAAACTACACTAGTAGTTAAACCAGAGCTCCATTAACTTCAGTTAAACCAGAATTCCATGAGCTGCAGTTAAACCAGAGCTCCATGAGCTGCAGTTAAACCAGAGCTCCATGAGCTGCAGTTAAACCAGAGCTCCATGAGCTGCAGTTAAACCAGAGCTCCATGAGCTGCAGTTAAACCAGAGCTCCATGAACTGCAGTTAAACCAGAATTCCATGAACTGCAGTTAAACCAGAATTTGAAGGACTACAGTTAAATCAGAATTCCATGAGCTGCAGTTAAACCAGAGCTTCAAGGGCTGGAGCCTGAGCTGTGGCCCCAGGCAGGGCTTGACACAGGGTGCATCCAACAGCGCTCACAGGCACGTGTCCCTCACTGCCACCCTCGGGGCAGGGGCTGACCAGAGCTGTCAGCCAGGGAGGCCAAGGGAAGGGACAGGGAGCAGGAAGGCTCCTGTGAGAGTGGCTGACCAGTCCTTTTTCCTCTCCCTCATTCCCTCCTTTCAACCACCCAGCATAAAAATCCATCTTTTTTTTTATTTTCTCTTTTTTTTCCCTTTCCCCCACTCTGTTCATGGCCTGGCTCCCTTTCAAATTCCCAGAGCAAAGTATTTATCTGCTGGATGAAGGATGACATCCGGCCAAAGCCCAGACACGCCATCACGTCTGATCCAGCCCAGCCGTCTATCACGGCTCCCATCTCGTTATTGCTGAGCTGGCAGCATTCCAGGCCTCGGGAATGGGCTCCCAATCCCTCCAGAGGAGAGAGTCAAGGACTTTTATTAATTAGCATTTTGAATTGTAGCTAATAAATACCCTTCTGGCACTGGGAATGGGATGGGGACACAACGGGGATGTCCTTGAGATGCTGGAGGCAAAGGGACAAGGGGCACCCACTGAGCCCCTCTGTGCTGCAAGCTTGAATCTCCTCCCTGGAGAGCAGCAGGGAGGGAAGCAGCACATTCTCCATGGAGAGGAGGAAGAGAAGCAGCACATTCTCCATGGAGAGCAGCAGGAAGGGAAGCAGCACATTCTCCATGGAGAGCAGCAGGAAGGGAAGCAGCACATTCTCCATGGAGAGGAGGAAGGGAAGCAGCACATTCTCCATGGAGAGCAGCAGGAAGGGAAGCAGCACATTCTCCATGGAGAGCAGCAGGAAGGGAAGCAGCACATTCTCCATGGAGAGCAGGAAGGGAAGCAGCACATTCTCCATGGAGAGCAGGAAGGGAAGCAGCACATTCTCCATGGAGAGCAGGAGGAAGGGAAGCAGCACATTCTCCATGGAGAGGAGGAGGAAGGGAAGCAGCACATTCTCCATGGAGAGAAGGAAGGGAAGCAGCACATTCTCCATGGAGAGCAGCAGGAAGGGAAGCAGCACATTCTCCATGGAGAGGAGGAAGAGAAGCAGCACATTCTCCATGGAGAGCAGGAGAAGGAAGGGAAGAAGCACCTTCTCCATGGAAAGGAGGAAGAGAAGCAGCACATTCTCCATGGAGAGCAGGAGAAGGAAGGGAAGCAGCACATTCTCCATGGAGAGCAGCAGGAAGGGAAGCAGCACATTCTCCATGGAGAGCAGCAGGAAGGGAAGCAGCATGACCACCACTGGGTTCAGCATCACCCGCTCACCCACCCAGCCCTGCAGTGGCCAGAACTCACAAACTCACAGAATTTTGCACCCCATCCCCTGTAGATTGTCCCACCACAGAAACATGTTTGGGATTGGGCTCCAGCCAGTGCTTGTCTCTCAGACCCACAGCAGGGAGGTGGCAGGGGACTGGCCCTGATGGCTGCAAGGACAGAGAGCTGGGAGCTCCAGCTGCGAGCTCAGCAGCTCACAGGGCTGCCCCACTCAGCACCCACCCCTGAATGCTCTGGCCACAGTGCCCACCCTGCCTCATTTCTGGCTCAGCCTGAAAGACAAAATAAAGGTGAGGAGGGCAGGTGAGAGACTGAAGCTGCCCTTCCATCCCCCATGGCTGATCCCACGAGCTGCAGGCAGCTCCAAGACCTGACTCCTATTGCAGGGCAGCTCCTCCCCTCGTGCAGGGCTCAAAGATCCACACACAGGCAGTGCCACACATCCCAAAACAGCACCACCCTCTGATACCCCCCCTCTGATGTCCCTGCAAGCTCATCTTGTCCTGGTGTCCCTTGCTTGTCCCTGGGCTGAGCTTTCCCTGAGGGATGACCTTCCCTGAGGGATGACCTTCCCTGAGGGATGACCTTCCCTGAGGGATGACCCACAGGTTAAGTGGTGAGCAATAGCTGGGCAGGACAGATGAGAGCATCAGCGACAGCAAGCAATTAGTTAATGGGTTCTGGGGCTCTCAGACCAATCTCATCAATGACCATGAGCTGCTGGAGAAATGATGAAAAGCCGAGCCAATAGAAACAGGAGCCAAAGGGGGAAAGCAGGGATGGGGGAAGGGGGAGTTAAAAGAGGGAATGAAAATAATCAAAAGCCCAGGGAGAAGATGTAGTCCACCCAAGCATGATACTGAGCTGGAGACCTGACAGGCCCAGCTGCTGCTCAGGGGAGAAAAACCAAAATCCCTTTAATCTACCTCCACACCCTTCTAATAGAGAATGGTGTCAAATCAATTTATTGCCTTTCCCCTCACAATCAATCAGGCCTCCTCCACTGCTCAGGCTCTGCTGGAGCCGTGTCACGTGCAGCAGGGAAAGGGAGAGCAGCAGAGCAGGACACGGGGGCGGCTGCTCAGATTTATGCTGCTCATGATTAGTAAGAGATGGGTGGCTCCTGGCCAGAGCAGCTCATAGTCACAAGACTTAGAACCACACCGAGTTGTGTAAGGCACGCAAGATTCCCTGCAAACCTTCCTGGCTTTGCATGGAGAGGCTCTGGAGCGTTGTTATGGATGGGGCTCGTGGATATGGCTGAGGGAAAGCGCCTTTCCAGTGAGGCAGAGGTTGCTGCAAACATGGGAAGTGAGGCTTTTCAGGCTGATTGTGCTCCTGAGACTGGTATTTGCAAGTAGAAAGAGGCTCAGGAAGAGACCAACACTTTAAGGGAAGATGGAATGTTTCCACTTCCCCACAGAGGTGTCCACACTGAGCTGCACAGCCTCTCCATGGAAGTCTCCAAATCCCAGATCTCTCACTCGCTAGGGAACTGCTCATGAACACCAGAGTCATGGGTATCAGCAAGTCCAAGGCAGTTTGTATCCCACCAGGATCCCAGTTTGTCCCACCAGGATCCCAGTTTGTGTCCCACCAGGATCCAGCAGTGGCAGCCACCCACCCAACTCACTCTTTGGGGGGGGTCAAGTCATCAGGTCGTGTCTCGAAGAACTGCAGCACCTCCTCGCACTGGGAGATGTAGGGAGGCAGCTGGATCAGAGCCTGAGGAGCAAACACAGACACGGGTGATGGGAAGCACCAAAACTGTGCAAGGAGCCCAGGGAGGAGTCCTGGGAGTGCAGGGAGCTGGGACATGAGTGGCACCCAGGGGACCCCAGCACAGGCTGGAGAGAAGCACAGCAAACCCAGAGAGCCCCACTTGCACCCAGCACCCCACCCTGCTGCAATAAAGGAGAATAAGCAGAGACTGGGCAGGCCCTGCTTAGCCAGCTCCAGCTTTTTGGGCAGATGTTGTGTCAGAGGGTGAGAGCCACAGGGGTGTCCATCCAGCCTCCCAGCTCAGCTTCCCAGTGTGGAACAGCCATCCTTGGGACAGGCTGGGCAGCTTGCACGTGGCAGACTCTCAGTGCCATCCCAGCACATCCTAAAAATGCCTCCCTGGGCAATGGCAGCTTGGCAAGGGGCAGGGAGAGAAGCAAGGGAAGCAAAAGCACAGACACCAGGGCTGGGAGGCTGCTCTGTGGCACAGCAGGAGATGTGAAATTCCTTCCCTTCAAGGAATTGGTTGTAAAAAAGCTCCAACAGTGGGACCTGCAGGGTGAGAGTGCCTGGCTGGGGAGGCAATGGAAAAAGGGAGCATTTCAAACCAGGGAGCAGAGCTGCAGCCCGACCTGGAGCAGATTTATAACCGGTTTTCTGTACAATTCCCCCTCCCCTCTGTCTGCTGTCCCAGCAGTCTCGTGACAGCAATGTGGGCAGAGCAAACCTCCCCTCATTTCTCTCCTGGAGACAAAGCCACAGCTGCAGAGCCTCGGGGTGACCACAGAGATCAGATGTGGCTCCTTCTTGCCCCAAGTGCTGGCCCCCAAAACCCTTCCAGGCACTGAGCAGCCAGTCCCTCAGTGCCAGCACAGCAGACTGTCAGACCACTAATCATGGGCCAGACGTGAACAGGATCATGTGAGACAGAGCAGAGAGAAAACCACTCCCTCCATGGCTTTTGGGCCCAGGGAAGGGCTATTCAAATAGCAGGTTTTGCACGGATTCCATTCCCATGCGGTACCACTCCCCAGCTCCAGCTGGATCCCGTGATCTAAGCGATATCCCCTGTGCCAGAATCCTGGGATTTTGTGGCCTGGAAAAGGCTCTGTGCCCTCTGGAAGCAGGGGGTGATCCCAGGGAACACCCTGTGCTGGAAGGAGGAGATACAAGGCCCACTGCTCATTTCCCAGGGTGTTCTGAAGGAAGCCCACCTAGAGCTGACCCTGCTGGCCACTACATCAGCAAGCATGGCACAAACAGCCTGATGTCTGTCCCAGCTCTGGCCCTGCCACCCAAAGCAGTGACCTGGGCAGGGCCACCAGGACACAGAGCTTTGGCCCATGGTGTTGGAGCCACAGCAAAGTCACCTTTCCCATCCTGCTGCCTGCAGGCCTGAGGGGAAAGGACCAAAGACAGAGAACCCTTGTTGGATTAAAATCTGTTTTGCAGGCAGTGAGAAAGGATCATTCTCCAGCAGCAGCAATTTCAGTCTCTTTGGGGTAGAGCATCACCACTCCTTCATCAAACCCTCGAACCCTTTCCCAGGAGGAAGGCAGATCCCACACCACGAGAAAGACCAGCAGATATGGAACACAAAGAGAATAAACTGGAGAAATGGGAGGACATTTTGGGTCTCTGCTCCCTCTCCTTGCCAGTCCCATGGCTGTCTGAAGTCTCATTTAGCAACTCATTGCTCTTACCAGTTGCTCTGATTCCTTCGCTGCTTTTCCCACACTTTATCTTAAATTGCCACATTTTTCAGTACCACAGGAGCTGGAACAGAGCCCTTCAGCAGGAGCACTGCCCTGTGAAAGCAGTGGCTCCCCCCTCCTTTGCTCCTCTTCCCTGCTTCCACCCCAAATCTCACCCATCCTCTTTGCAGGGCTCTCCCAGAGAACAAAGACACCCAACTTCCCTCAGAGGAGATGGCAATAAAGCAGAAACTTCCTTACACAGCTTTCTGCTGCTAATTCCTTGCTCCTTTTACCTCTCTGCAGGCCCTGGTCAGTCCCACAGCCACCTCAGCTCAGCTGCTTTCCGGGTAAGCAGCAGCTCCAGGCCAGGCAGGGAGAGCTCGGAATTCCTGGGTGATGCATTAACGGGAGGAGGAGAGCACAGCTCCCTAAGTGGGTCATATAACATCAGCCATTACGTTCCAGTTGTTAAGTCAAATGGGTTCATTATATTTTATGCCACTAATGGCATTGCTCTGAAAGAGGCAGCTGCAGCATTTTATCACTGAGGGACGTTTTCTTCCCCAAAATTGAATTTACAGCCGCGTCTGTCTGTGGAGCTGACACAGTTCAGTGGCTCAGGGGACAAGGGGCCAAGCACCATCAGCTTCCCCCAGGACAGCTCTGTAGCACATCTCCATCACTCTGCCCTCACCTGCTGTCCTGGCCAGCGGTGATCCTCATCTGCAGCCCCTCTGCAGAGCTGCCAAGATGCATTTCCTAATTCATCTCCATCCCTGGAATTGTTATTCCAGCCACGGCCTCCCTGGCTCAGGCCCAAACCCCACAGCCACACAAAGGCACTGCCACATCTCCCTCACCTATGGATATTTTACCATTTCCCCATCTTCTCCCGTGGGTTTTACAGTCTTTCATGTATTCCCAGCACCATTCAGAGTGGATTTTGGAGGTACCAGTCCTACCATGGCTGCTGCAAGTACTAATGCACATCTTTGATGGGAGATGTGACACTTGATACGTGTGAAAATAATTTGTTGTGGACTTCAGTGTTTTGTTTCCCCTGCCAAAAAAAATAATCTGCCCCAAAATCATTAATTTCCCTTACACTTCAGCCCAGTTTTATACCCTTCAAGAGTATGGAGCAAGTTGTCTCAGCCTTCTCTCTGTCCCAATAATTTTCTGAGGTACAAGTCACTTTTGTAACCAGTAACTGGAGTTTGCATCCCAGTTGGGAACCACCTCACCATCCTACAGCCTCAAGTGCTGCCTGCTACATAAAACAGGAGGCTTTTGCCCAAGAGATGGGAAAGGAAAGGCTCCCTGAGGGGCTGAGTCCTTCAAACCACAACCATTTCCCTCCAAAGCTGTGGTGATGTTCTGCCAGGCTCTTCCCAGCCCTTCCAGAGCTGGCTCTGCTTTGCAGCTGGAGGAAGGACAGGAGGAATGCAAAGCCCAGCAGCAGGGTGCAGACTGGAGTGGGGCTGGGTACCTCTGCCCCCTGCAAGCCAGGTCTCCAAGCTCCCAGCAGAGAAAAACTAAACTGGGTGTGTTTTAATGAGAAAAAGGGATTGAGAGCAGGGGCTAACCCACACTCCCCGTGATCCTTAAATTGTGCCAAGGGAAATACAGGTTGGAGATCAGGAAAAGGTTTTTTCCAGAAAGGGTGATAAAGCTCTGGAATGATCTGCCCTGGGGGAGTCATCATCCCTGGATGTGTTAAAAAACACTGGATGTGACACTCAGTGCCATGGGCTGGTTGAGGTGGTGGGGCTGGGCTGGACTCGATGATCCTGCAGGTCTCTCCCAAGCTGGTGGTTCTGTGTGATTCTGTGTCAGTGCATCAGGATGGAGCTGGATGGAGCTGGATGGAGCTGGCCTTACCTTGCAGTACTCATCAATGGGGATCAGGCGCTTGACCGCGACGTCGCGGATGTGGCTCCGGCGGAAGAGGATCTTCCCTGGAACACAACAGGAGGGGACACAAGGGCAGGTCAGCACAACACTCCTCGGAATCACCCCCTCAGGACCTTTTCCCTGCACACCCTCTTCTAGCCAAAAGCACCATAGCCAAAAAAAGCCCATTTCCTCACACAGATTAAACCTGGTCAGAACCAGGCACAGTTCAGGTGGCAAGGACATTCCAGGAGAGAAGAGGAAACAGTTCCCAGCAAACTGCATCCCCCTGGTCTCTCACCAGTGTGGCAATGACGAGGAGCAGCCCCCATCAAAGCCTGACACCTCTCTGTTTGCTGGTGTGGACAGAATCTCTGGCAAACACTGGCAGGACATCCCTTGTCCCATTGTCCAGCTCTAGCGTGGGCAGCAGCCAAGCCAGAGGGATTTTCCCCGTGCAGCTCCTGGTCCTGGAAGCCTCAGTGTCGGGACTGCAGCTCTTAGTCAGACCTATAGAATTTTCCTTCCTGTCTGGGGTTTATTTTTGTTCTCCATTAATGGGATCCTCTTGCCACTCCGTTTCCTCCCCTCTGGCTTATGGTACAGGCCTCTTTCCTTTGAAGCCTAATGAGTCCTAAATGCTTCAAGCTGCTCTCTCAGAGAACAGCTTCTCTGGCATTTAATGAGACAAAAGCCATTAGCAGACAGCGAAACAGATACGGGATCAAAAGGGTTGGTACGTGGCAGGATTTCAGACCGCTTCCCAAAGCTCCAGGAACTGGCACTGCTCTGCAGCACAATCACCTGGAAAATTCTGCTTTGGGGGGGTTGGGTTGGAATGAAGCTCCCTCAAGTTCCTCCTGGCATCTCCAACACCACAGGAAAGGCTTTTTGGTGCCTGCTTGGGTTTCCAATCCCATCCCTGATCACAAGGAGAGCAAGAGTCCCTTCATTTATCAAAGGGGTCACACAGGGCAACCCAGAAGCCAAACTCCCCTCACTCCATCCTTGCAAACCACGTGAGGGCAGGGAAAAAGCACTTGGAGAGTCACAGCATGGCTTTGTCCCTCCTGTGGGTCTTCTCAGGAGCCCTGGAATTACTGAAGCCATGGGCTGGATGCTACCAAGAACAGGACACAGGAAAATGGTCAGATGATTATGACAATTTTAAATTCAGGGCTGAGTCATTGATCAGAATTTTAAATCCAGGGCTGGGTGATTTATTCCAATTTTAAATCCAGGACTGAGTCATTGATCAGAATTTTAAATCCAGGGCCTGGGTGATTTATCCCAATTTTAAATCCAGGGCTGGGTCACCCCTTGTGCTTCTCCCTGGCTTGGCCAGGAGCTGGATCACGGGTGACTCGTGCAAGCTGCCAATGCATTTTTGAAGCAGAGATGAACTGAAGCCAAGCCAACTTCAGCTTGCAAAGAGCACGAGCAAGAACCTGCTGGAGGAGCCAAATCTCCTGCCAGGCTCAGTTCCTGCTTTGAAACAGGAGCACACAGTGAACCCACTGAGAGGCAGCTCCTTCCTTGCCCTGCAGTGAAAGGGTCGGGGTCAGCCCAACCCAGCACTGCTCCTCATTCCTGGGCTGTTGGCAGCGGGGCTGGGACACTGATGGTGGGAAATGCTTTGCCCTGCTGTGCATTCCTTCTCAAAGCGTGCCAAGAAGAGCCAAATCTGGCAGCATTTGTGACAGAGTGAGAACAAAATCCCCCTCTATCCAGCCTTTCTCTATTTTGAGGGTGAAGAGCCTGGGAACAGGGAATTTATCTGGAAAGACCGAGAGCAGCACCCAGCTCGGAGCTCCATTCCTTGCCCTGAGCAATTCTTTTCCATCTGACAAGAGAATGATCAAGTTTTCCCTTCCCATCAGCAATCCCAGTGCGTTTGCTGCCGAGGATCCTGTTTGAATGATGATTGCTGAAAAAGATGAATGGATCACACCAGTTCTGCTGGCAGTGGTTGGGAGTGGCTGTTTTGGTTCTAGGTCTGCCAAAATGAAATCACTGATGGGTGGGTAGGTTATAAATGGCTGAAATAATAAGCTCTGGGTGTGGGAATATTGAAATGTTTAACAAACATATGCTAGTGAGTAATAATAAGAAGAATACAGTTTGGGGGAATAAATTCATCACAAGTGATCTTAAATTAGCCCAGGCATGGAGCATATGAACCAGCAGGAAATCCAGCTCCTCTCTCCATTTGCTCTAGATCTGTTTTTTTCAACAAGGAAGTTTATTTTCTAACAAAAAGCTGACTTTAATCGAAATGCCTAATTAACATAATTGCAGCCCCTTCAGTGCTGCCAAATCCAGCCATAGAAACCCTTGACTTGACAGGCAGGAGAAACCACTTCCCTCCTGGAAGGGAAAGGTGGGCAACTTGCAGGGTCAGGGAGATGTAGCATTTCCCTGGGCATGTTTTCCTTGGCCCAGACCTAAATTTTGGAATAGTAGAACTGTCCAGTGGGGCTTTTCCCGTGGCCAAAGACAACAAAACACCAGGGAAACACGGGAGACTGAGGGGTGCAGGGAGCTGTGAGCAATGCTGCAGCTCCAGGGCACGGTTCCCACCACCCCATTCCCAGCGCTCTCTCCCTGATGATTTTCTTTGGCTGCTTCCAGGATTTGTTAAGGATCCTCAGGCGGGTTCTGGAAGTGTCCAAGGCCAGGTTGGACAAGGCTTGGAGCAGCCTGGGATAGTGGAAGGTGTCCCTGCCCATGGTGACCTCTAAGGTTCTTCTCCAACCCAAAGCATTCCATGGCTCCACGATTCTAAACTCATTTTTCCCCTCCTGGCACCGCTCCTGCCTCAGGATGTGGAACACCAAGGACAAGACACTGAGGGGAGGCAGCTCTGCTGATAATGGGCTTTTCCAGCAGCTGCAAAGGTCACTGCTGCTGCAGGCTCTACTTGCCCAGCTTCTTGTCACAATCCCAGGAGTCAGAAATAATTAGATTTTCTTATTTACATAGATAATGTTATGCATGAGCAATTGGAGCAGTGAGGCTCCATCCCTGCTGGCACCAGGAATTCCCTCCAGCAGGAAGTGTGGTAAAATACACTGTCCCTTACACAAACAAAGCTAAGAGAGGACTGAGCATTTATCACCCAGGAATGTGTCAAACAAGTTGATTTTGGAAAAAGATGACTGAGATAAGGCACTAACACACAATGGCTGCCCTGGCTGTGCAAGGACCCAGACCCAGGATGTGCTGCCTGCTTTTTCTGGATTTTAAAAACCTCTTAATCCCTACAAAGGCAAAGCGAAGCTCTACTGAAGGTATTCTGTCTGGCCATGAAAATTCCTCTGGTGCCACTTCCCAGGAGTGGAAGAACCAAACTCCTCAGTGGGTAATCAAGGCTGATTTGCTTTATCTGACTGACCCAGAGCAAAAACTGATGGAGCAGCTCCTAAAGGTGGGGCTGGAAAAAAAAATACAGCCTGGTCCCCACTGCTTCAGGCCTTCAATGGGACTGAAAAGTGCCAGGAAATCTTGGGGAAAAGGCTGATAAGGAATTTGGGTCTCCAGCAGTGGAGACAGAGCAGGCAGGCCACAGGAGGGGTTAATCTCTCCAAACAAACAAAAGCAGGGAAAAGGGCTCTGCAGATTGGTCCCTCCTGTGGGAATTCTCCAGGCACAGCTGGTGCTACACTGGGATCGAGGAGCTAGAGACTGAAAAAGGCAGAGGGACCTCAAGCAGCAAAGTTGTGGAGCCAAAGGCTGGATCTCCAGCGAGCTGAGAACCCCAAAGACATCCCCCTGGCCATCCCAGCTGTGAACCAAGCCAGGAATTCCAAGAGTGGAAAAGCAGCTGTGCCTCCTGCTTTACCCTGAAGGAGTCCCCCCATTCTGCCCCCACCCCACAGCCTCGGAAAGAATTCACTGCTCTGCACCTTTCAAATCACATCCAGATTTTCCCTGGCACGGGTTCCAAACTCACTTCAGCAAAAAGGCAGCCCTGAATGTACACGTAATTAATCCCAGCCCCTGGAGCAGCCAGCTATTCCTGGGATGGGGGATCAGCCATGGGAGACGGTGTTTCCAGGAGTCCCACACTCAGCATCTGCTCTGTGCAGGGGTTCAGGAAAGCCTGGGACTGCCCTTCCAAGCTGCTAGAACAGAAATCCCATCTTATGAGAGCAGAAAATAACAATTAGGGCCCTTGCCCCACCTCCAGCTCAGAGAAGATGCAACAGGACTAAGCAAAGTCAGGTACCATAGCTGGAAAAGGGATGAGCTTTCCCCCACTGCCTTCACAGAGGTTCTGTGGGGAGCTAAAGCATCCTCGCAGTTGTTCTGGGAGAAAAACCCCGAGTTTGTGTGTGGCAGTGATGCTCACACCCGGTGGGCTGGGAAGGGAGCAGAAAGGAGGCCTAATTCTGCTTTTAAAAATGACCTCCCCAAACCCCCTTCCTCCCGCTCCCTTCTCGGGACTTCGCTCCTGTCCGCAGCTAAATCTTCCTAAAAAGCAATTTTACAGCCAAAGTGAGCTCAGCCTCAGGCAACCCCTCCTTGCTGAGGCTCACGTTTCCAGCGAGGCAGGAAAGCTGGCCAGGATCTGCACGGAGCTTGGAAGGCTCCACGTCCCTCAGCAAAGCTGTTTCCTGAAGGGTCTGGCACGGGCCTCCCCGGCAGGCCCAGCTGAGCTCATTTGTTTTCCCAGCTCCTTCTTTCCTGGGGTCTCCAGGGTGGGTGGAACCTCGCTGGGGATGTTCCAGCTGGGCTGGATGTTCCACAGGGCTCTGCTGGTGCCAGGCACGGGCTGGGTGCTGCCACAGCTGCTCCAGCGCCACAAAAACCTCTGCCAGGGGCTCCAGGCCAGCTAAGAGAGCTCAAAAAGCACTTCAAATTCTCCCCTCCGTGGCAGCAGAGCTTTTCAGGCACAGAGCAGGAGCGCTGCCAGGAAAATCCAAAGCCCACCAGGCTCTGCTGTGGGATGAAAGCGGTGCCAGGAGCCAGAAAGGGACGAGCCCTGGCCCCAAAGCTCGAGTGCAGCTGCTCTGCCTTTGGAGGACCCAGCTCTGGGACTCCACCAGAGCTGAAGGACTTGCACTTAACAAAAGGCCCTTCTGATAGCATCAAAGACCTGCTTCAAGAGGCCAGAGTCTCCAGGAATTTCCCATAAAAAGTCAAATCCTCCAAGCCGGCGCTCACAAAAACGAGGCAGCACAAAGCTCCTGCGGGCTGGGGGTGTCATGTGGGGTAATCCTGGAATTCCTTCCAGGAATCCAGGCTGACACACAAACCCAGCAGCACCTTCTCAGGCCCTGGGGGTGACCCTGAGCTCGGGACACTCTGGGGTTTGCTAAGGAAGCCAGGGCTGCAGGAGGGATTTTTGGGAATTGCCACAAGGCCCGGTGCTGCCCCACAAGGGCCTTCCCAGAAAGCAGAGCACTTGCAGGAAACCACCACAGCCAAATCTCCCCTGGTAATGAAACTCAGATGCTCAAAATGCAATTGGGAACAATCTCCAGTACTCTCAGAAGCTGAACACAAACCCCAGCAAGTCTAGGGAGATAGAACCGGAAAAAAACCCTTTTTTTGGGGGCAGAAAACAGTCCCAGGCTGCTTTACTGAGCTCACCTGGGCTGAGAGAGACAAAGCTGGGGTTCAGCTATAACAAAACCTGTCATCATCCTAAACTGGGAAAACAAAGAAGTGCTCCAGGAAGGAATCAGGCTCCAGTGCAGCCAGTAAATATTGAAAGAGCCTTCCCTTACCCCCAGGTGAAATCCTCTTCCAGAAGCAGAGCTTGCCCACCCTCTCGCTGGGGAGTTTCTGGCTCACTGAACTGCTCCAGGGAAAGCCACCAGCTCCTGACTGCTCCAGCAGGCTGGAGGCCAAAGGCACCACCATTCCCACTCCCAGCATCACAACTTCCCCGAAGCACAGGGCTCCCAAGGCTGTCCCAGCCTTTATTTTCCAGCAATTTCCACCCCCTTTTTCCCACAGTGGAAATCCCAATGACATCTTTCTGAGCAAAGGGAAACTATTCCAACACCAAGGAGAAACAAATACTGGTGAGTGTGAGCAGCAGAGATCCGACCAGGCTTCTCTTCCAAAAATAGCGGCGTTTTGGTGGGAATTTTCTTCAAGTGCAGCACAGACAAAGCACAAATCCAATTTTTCCAAGTGATGCCCTTTGCCAATTTGGCTTCCATCTCTTCCTGCTGGCAGGAGCACTTGTACAGCAAGGCCTTTTCTGCTGTAACATCAGGTGAGCTTTGCCTTTGCTGATGCTACAATGCCAGGACAAGCCAGAATCAGAAACCCAGGCAGGATTCTCTTGCTCAGAAAGGGATGGAAATGATTTTTTTCCTTTCTTCTTTTCCACACCACTCAGAGAAAAGCAAAGCCCACAATGGCCTTTATGTTTCTAGAAGAGCCAGGAGGCAGAGCACAGCACAAAGGGCTGCACTAAACAGACCTGACAGCCACTGGAAGTGATTATGGTGCCGTGACATTCCTAAATATCCTCATTAGCTGCTCAGGGCTGGGGGTAAAGACAACTCTGTGGTCAGAGAGACTCCCCACAGGCTGCTTATTTTCCCAAGGCATATTTAGAATCCTTTTTCCCCCCACAGCAGCAGCCAGCAGCAATCCCCCACACCACAAAGTGCCACGGATTATCACATCTGTTCTTTGGGCATAAAACCACTCGTGTTGGACATGCCACACCACAGAAATCCTGTCTTGGAGCAGTCACTCCCAAACACCACGGGAGGAAGCTGAGGCTGTCGATCAGCTTGGATTCCATTGTTCTTTCCTTCTCTCTGGATGTCCCCTGGAGCTGCAGGGGACAGGGGAAGCAGTTTTGGGGAGCCTCACACCACCCTCAGCCCTGCGCTGTGCCTGGGGGCTTCTTGGTCTTCCACTCAGGAATTCTGGAGGGACAAGAGAAATCCTGAGGGGTTTAACACTCCCTGGGCACGCTGCTAACAAATCCAGAGGTTTTAAAGGACACACTGCAGGCCAAGAACTCGCTGCTGCCCAGGTGGTTCAGTGGGTTTTACACATAAAATATGTGTGTGCTCCCACACAGACTGGGAAAAAGCTCCTGCAGGGCAAAAAAAGCAGCAGGGATTTTGCTGGAGCCTCCTCTCCTACCTGGCAGAAAGGGGATGATCCTTTGCTTGGGGTCCTTCTGGCCTCCTTCCATCGGGAACTTGTCCAGCATCTGCATCTAGAAAAGGAAATGCAAGAGAGATGAGTCAGGGATTCAATGGCAAGACACAAGGCCAGGAGGGGACAAAGCAGGAGAGGAGACAGAACAGGCCCAGAGATATCCAACCTTTGGATATGAGGGAGGGGAGGGAGATGGAAACTCTCCCTTGCTTTCCCCATGGTTCTGAAGTGTCTCCCAGGATTTCTGCAGCTCCCTGCTCCCCAGGGTATTGAAATGAGTCTGACTCTCTCTGTTGGAGCTCCCTGCCTGAATAATTCAGCACTTATGGAAGAACTGGAGACAACCTGCCCAGGAAGTGTCCTGAGCACCTGGAAAATCGAATCAGCCCTCTGCAGCCCTGCACATGCAGTGGTCACACGTTTTTCCCTTGGATCTCACACCCCAGGATAAGTTATTGAGGTTTGGTGCAGAGAGGACAAACGGAAGGAAGGATTTTGAGAAGAAATTAAAACCTCCCCCAAGACTCCCAAAGACAACAGGAAAACCAGAAAGAGCTCTCAGAGTGAGAACAGGAGAACTCAGAACCAGGGTGGCACTGAGCACAGTGGGGCTGTGTTCACAGCTGCCTCCCAAAACAACCAGGAGGTGACAAAAACGTCCCCAGAGCTGGCACCAGCCAGGGACTGTGGTGACATTACAGCAGCCCCAGAGAGGCCAAGATCTCCCCCAGCCCATGAAAATCCAGGCTGGCACCACATCCCTGTCACTCTGTGGAACACTCCTGTTGTGCTGTGGTGGAGAGGAGCCCCCGGCCCTGCTCCTTCTGCAGGGGAGAGCTCGGGGAAGCTTGTGGCTGGAGAAGGGTGAGGAAAACAAGGCACCAACGCTGCACATCTGATTGTGGTTAAACAGCACAACCCTGGAGGCACTGGAAGCAATCCTGGAGGCACTGGAAGCAATCCTGGAGGCACTGGAAGCTTTCCCTGCCTCTGCTGCAGCCCCAGCTGAGGATCCCTCACTCCCAGAGCTCTGGAAGCTCCAAGGCACGGACGTGGTGGTGCTCTCCCACCAGCACGTGTCTGGGCTGTGCCTCTGCCCAGATCCCTTCCCAGCCATGTGATCCCACCAAATCCACCCAGAACTCCAGCCCATCTCCAGCTCCTTTTGCTGCACTGCTCAGCCTGGGGACCCTTCTCTGCTCCAGCCCAACCCAGTGCCACCAGAACCAGCCCAGCCAGACCAGACCTGCCTGGAAGTAACAAATCCCTCCTTTTTCATGCTGCAAGGAGGAAAAGAGGTTGCAGAGGGCCTGGAGCACCCTCTGGCATTCACAGGAAGAGGAGAAGTGGGGAAGGAGAGGGCAGGGGGGCTGATCCCGTGGATCCCAGCCAGCCTGGCTGCCACATCGCACAGCTCTGGAGGAGGCAGCAGCAAACACCAGCTCATGGGTTTTCCTGGGCATGAGCCCGTGGGAAGAACAGCTGAAAACCTCACTCCAAGGAAAACAAGCTGGCTGTAAGCAGGGGAGGCACTTTGGGATAGAGGATCCACAGAAACCCAGAAAGCACAAAACTGAGGGTGGAAAAGAGCAGCTCCAGACCCAAGGGAAGCCAGCAGGGACAAGGAAGAGCCAGCTGGCAGAGCTCCAGGTTCTGAGGTTCCCCATGTCCTCCTGCTGATTCTGCAGGATGGGGATGCAGCACAGGTTGTCACGCTGCTCCTGCCAAGGAAAGCAGCCCCAGCTCTGGAAAAAGGATGGGAAAAGGGTAAAAGTTCAGCAACCCTACAAACCCTGGGCGAGGGACACAGGGACAGGCACCAGAGGATGGTCTGCAGATTCCAGTGCCAAGTTTTCTTGGTGGAACACCTTTTCCCAAGGGCTGTGGCAGGGAGGCTGGCATGGGGAGACGCCCACAAATCCTCTTTGCAGCAAAGGTTCCCATCCAAGCTCCAGACATCCCATTCCCAGCCAAGATCCCGGGGAGATGGGCAGACAGGGCAGGGGAGATGCAGACAGACACAAAACAGAGGGGCCAAGTCTCGTTCTCAGGATTGCACTCAGCCAGTTCAGGGAGAAAAATGAAGGGGAAAAAAAAAAAACACCAACCCAGCAAAAATTAATCTATTGTTTCTCCCCTTCCAAGATCATTTTTAAGTATTTGTGACAGAGAAGGAAAAAAAAAAAGGTTGGAGTGGATGCAGTTTGAAGAATTTTGGTGTCTTTTATGATGTGGGAAGCTGTTGTATCCCACTTTTTACTGACCCCTTTGCAGCAGGGAGAGGGATTGCAGCTTCCCAGAGCCAGGACTGGATCCCAAGTGGGGTGTCCAGCCCAGGCTTCCCACACCAGCACAGGGCATGTTTCTCCACATTTATCTCCACCACCAACTTATCTTATCAGTTAGCTGTTTTCCTTACCCAGGAATGTCTGGGCAGTGGAGTGAGGCAGACTGTGAGAATTCCCTGTCCCCATCCCCAGCTGTCCGTTGACAGGAAAATACAGGAAAAATAAACCAGGATAACACCCCCAGGGATGGGCAGCCTTTGAAAAGCAGCTCATGCTGGCAGAGAGCTGCTTCAGCAACAGGAAACTGGTAAGATAATATCCTAATTAGAGCAATTAAGAGTGCTGCAGGGGAGCCTGGGGAGAGGGGAATGTCCCTGCTCAGCAGGATTCCTGGGAAGCAGAAGGCTTTGCCCAAAAAGCAGCTGATGCTGCAGTGCCAGAGGGTTTTACACCACACAGGGTGACCCCAGAGATCTGGCTGCTGCAGGACATGTCACTTCCCAGCTGGAAAACGCTTGGAGAAATCGCTGCCAAAACCCCACAGCCTCAAGCCAAGTGCCAGCAGGTAATCAGGTGTGCCACGCTCTGCTTCTCCTCTGATTTCCACAATACAGTGGAAGAGCTTTTCCCTCTTCTCAAGAGAATTTGTTGAATGAGACAAGAGGAACGAGCAGGAACCGGTGCCCAGGAGGTTCCTGAACACAGGGAAGAACTTCCCTGGGCAGTGCCCAGCCCTGAACAGATCCCAGAGCAGGGATGGGATCTCCTCCCTGGGGATATCCCGGAGCCCTCTGGGCACTCTGCTGTCCCTGTGCTCTGGGATGCTCTGCTGGAGCAGGGAGGTGACACCAGTGACCCTCTGGGGTCCCTCCCAGCCTGAGGTGGCACCAGTGACCCTCTGGGGTCCCTCCACCAGTGACCCTCTGGGGTCCCTCCCAGCCTGGCCCAGCCTGGATTTTGGGATTTGCTCTGTTTGGCAGAGTTCAGCCTGAAGCCACACTGCTCCTTGGTGGCCCAGCCAGAGGCAGCCTCCAGCCCAGGGCTGTTATCCAGAGCATCCAGCTTTCCACACCACTTGAAGGGAAAAGGGGAATGAAAAGGGAATTCAACAAAAGGCTCCCCAGTCTGGCTGGGTGCGCTGGCAGAGCCACAAGAGACTCTTTGTGAGAGCAGCAGCAGCAGGGAAGGCACAACCAGCAGCACCAGCAGCTGCCCTGAGGAGAAACAAGCCCGGGCCAAGGCTGCTCTCATCCCACTCATCCCACATAATGCAGGGATTTACTGAAAAAAAAAAATTTTAAAAAATTAAATATATGTATAATAAAAAATAGAATATGTAAATATAGATATAATTTTATATATATAAAATATATATAATTATAATATATACTGTATATAAATATATATTAGATAGAATATATTGTATACAGAAAATATATATATTTATATATAATATATAAAATCTATATAAATATATATATTTATATATAATATAAATATCTATATAAATATATATTTATATAGATATATATAAATTATATATAAATATATATATTTATATATAATATAAATATATATATATATAAATATATCTATTTATATAGATATTTCTAATTTATATTTATAAAAATAGAATATATATAAATTATATATAAATATAAAAATATAAATTATGTAAATATATGTATTTATAATTCTACATTTATAATTTTTATATATAAACTATATATTATATATAATATATTATATATAATTTTAGTAATTATATAATTTTATTATTTATAGTTAATAATATTTTAATTAGAAATATTGTAACTATATAAAACATTAACTATTTAAAAGATATTTTTAATTAATAATATTATTATATAATAATATACAATTATATAATTGTAATTATTATAATTGTATAAATAATATAATAATATTATTATATAATTATTAATTATTATATATTAATTATATATTTAAATATATGGTATTTAATATTTAATTAATTAATTAATTATTAATATTTAAATATATATTAGTTATATAATTATAATTAATAAGATTTATTTAAAGGATGCACCTTGGGCACTGCAAGAGCCCGGCCCTGGCTGCACCCAGGATGGCCCTGGCTCAGGAGTTTCACCTTTGGATCAGTTCTGGTCCATTTCCACCTTGGGGTGAATTGCCCAAGATGAAAGTTAAAACTTAAGGCATCATTAGCAGCTGGCCCCTTGGGGACATGAGGGACACAGCTCCAGGCTGAGAACCAGGGACTTCTCCAAGTGTTCCCTCAGATCAAAGCACTGGAATCAGCTGGATTGGGAAACCTCTGCCAAGGAACAGGCTGGGAAGGAGACAGCTGGCAGCAGCTCACAGGAAACCGATGTTTAGTCTCTCTGAGATCCCACGAGGGGCACCTTCCCTGCATCCTCAAGGTCTGAACCAACAGGGGGCAGATAAAAAGCCCAGAAGACAGAAGGATTAACAAGCTGAGGTCCCAAATGTGGGATGTCAGTCCCGGGGAAGGGCTCCAGTGGTGCCACATAATTCCCATTCCATGGATGCTCACAGCACCAGGAGCTGACACAAGCGAGCAGAGCGAGGAGCACATCTCACACATCACCAGGAGAGGCAATCCCCACCCCTCCAGCACCAGGAAATGGCATCACAGAGGCTGCAGTGTGAAAACCTCACGGAAAACTCGAAGCATCGCTCAGCAATCGACAAAAAAAAAGAATTAACTGAGGTCAGAGGGGGTGAAAAAAAATAAGGGCCACAC